CCCCATCTTCCTTCCGAGGAGTGGCTGGTGGGTTTGAACTGCCAACCTTCTGGTTAGCAGTCAAGTGCCTTAGGCACTATGCTACCAGAGCTCCCATACATATACATACATACACATATATATATACACACACAGATATGAAAGAGACCGAGAGAAAGGGAGAGAGAAACAGAGAAACAGAGAGAGACAGACAGAGAGACAGATGCTGAGTGAAGAAAGTCAGACAGAAAACACCAGAAGCTGCCTGGCCCCACTTAAACGCGACACTCAGAGCAGACAAACGCACGGGACAGAGAGCAGGGCCTGACGAGGCCGGGTGCCAGTGGGCAGGTAAACGCACAGTGGTGATGGTTCAACAGGTGGATGGGATTAAGGTCACTGAGCCGGGCACTCAAAACGGTCACAAGAACACATTTTGTGTTCTGTCCATTTCACCAACAGTCAAACAGTACGGAGCAGAGCAGGACTCCACACCAGTTGCAGGGCCCCCCGGCCAGCCCTGGGGACAACCGGGCCATCACAATAAACCAGGGCAGTGCCCAGCTGTCATCAGCTCAAGAGAGGGAGAACCCACAAGTCCGCACTGACGCACTGCACACCCGACACTGAAGAGAGCCCAGGGAGAACTGTAACAGTTCAACAACAGACACCATGGAGACCCTCCACCCTGGAGACAGCCCCTGGCTGTCCTCTGCACAGTCCTATTTCAGCTCTAAGTCCCCCAGAGTGTCCATATCCCCTGGGGGCCACTGTCACTGTGGTCTGTGTCCTGGGAGAGTGGCCAGGGACCCAGGCAGACACCACGCCCCCTAGAGGCTCCTCCAGCAAGTTCAGGCTGAAAAGGTCCCTGAGGGCAGGCCCCACTGTGGACAAGTGTGCCTGGCTGGAGACCCGCCGGACCCTCCTTCCCTGGGCAGCTGGGGTGAGGGCCCAGCTGGACCCCTGGGCAAGAGGTCCGGAGGCTGGGCAGGCCGCTGGACTTGAGCCCAGGGTGTATGTGGGGCAAACCCAAGACCCCCAGCCAAGAGGCCTGTGGCGGCTGGGCAGTGAGGATGGGCTTGGTTATAGCTTGGAACCACACAGCCTGGGCTCAAGACCCCAGCCCCTCCCAGGGCTCCAGATAGGGCCTGCCCCACCAGCTCTGCGGGAGGAGGACAGAGGCCAGCCCAACCTCTGGGACTCCATTGGTCTGCCTTTCCCTCCTGCTGTTCACTGGGAGAAACTGCCAGGAATGGGGCCCGCTCCTCATTAACTTCAGACAAAGCGGTCACTGCACTCCTTCCCAACAGGAGGAAGATCCGGATCTGGGCAGCTGCACAGACCCACTCGGGAATCAGGACACAGGCCTGGGGCCCTGGAGCGGGTGGGGGCACCTGCCCAGGCTGTGCCAAAACCCACTCAGGTCAGGCAGTGTTCATTCAGTGAACAAGAGGTGTCCAGCAGTGCCCACACCCGCAGCAGCCACCGGCCTCTTGCCCTATCACCGCCTTGCCCCCCATCCACCTCTCCCTAATTGCCTTCCCAAGTGAGGCCTTTTGGGGGTCCGACTGGGGGCTTGTTGCAAAGTCCCAACCCAGGAGCAGGGCTCACTTGGGACTCACCCCGCCCAGGAGCCTCTCCGGCCCCGGTCATGGCTGATGGCCAAGCAGAGACAGGCAGCCTTGCAGATACCTGGCCTTCAGGGAAATTAACTGTACAAGATCACACACTACCTCCATGAGGCAGAAAAGATGTCAGTGGGGGCTGGCGGCAAGAGAGCCTTATGCGGGGGGAAACACACCAGGGGCTCTGGGGGGACATTCCCATTAATGTCTCTGCCAAGGCCTGGCCAGGAGTCAGGGAGGGTGGGGGTTTCTACCAAAGGGTGCTGGGCCACTGTTGGGAGCTGGGGGAGCCCCCGGGGTTGAGAGGAGGGACGTCCTAGGGACGTGACCTCAGACAGACCTGCTGGCCGGCACACCTGGCACCGCGGGTCCTTGGGGTAGGGGCTGGGGGCGGAGAAAGCCCTGGAACACTTGGTCCAGCAGGTTAGCTTCCCGGCCTCCACCCCTGGGATGGTGGCATCAGGGCTACAAGGGCCCTGTGGCCTAGGTACCCACATATCACAGCCTCAGGCCTCTCCCCAACTCTGAGATGAAGGCCCTCCAAGCCCAGGGCCAGGTGCCGAGCACCTGCTGTCTGGAAGGACAGGGTCTGAGTGCAGGATGCGGGACACAGGCTGTGCTCTCCGCTTCCCTCCCCTCTGTGGGCCTTGACTCGAGTCTGGGGCAGCACTGAGCCCCCCTCACAGGCAGCTCTTGTTGGTCTCTCCACCCTTCTCTAAGGTCACCCACCATCAAGGAACTGTCTCCTGGCACTGGGTGGGCCCCCCTCCTCCCTGCCCCTCAGGAGCCTCCCCCTAGCCACGCCCCTCCCCCTCAGCCACGCCCCTCCACAGGCTCTGCCCCTCCTCAGCTCTGGCCCTGTGGCCAGCTCAGGGCTTAGGGTGGATCCATGTGAGACAAACCTGGAACTGACCCCCCACTGACAAGGGGCAGCAGGATGGAGCAGGGGTCCCCCTGGGGCAGCAGCCAGCTGCCCCAGCCACTGGCCAGGAAGGGCACCAGGGCAAGGCATCCCTGTGCCCGCCACACCGTGGCCATAATGGAGCTGGGCCAGGGCCACTATCCAGCCCTGGGCCAGGCCGCAGGTCCAGCTTTAGGACCTCGGGGTTCCAGGGTAATGGGCAGGGAGGTGGGGGATGGAGAGATACCTCCCAGAGCGTGCTCACTCCTCTGTCTCTGGGTCTCCAGGTCGGCCAGCTCGCTGAGCAGGACAATCCCGTGAATTCCTGAGCTTCGGGATGGGGGGCTGGCACTGGGGGGCTCCGGGGCAGCCGGGGCCTGAGGGTGCAGTGGGCTGAGTCTGGGGAGGTCCCCCAGGTGGATGGTGGCGGCCACGAGGGCATCCAGGCTGGGCAGCACCCTGGGCAGGTGGCCATTGTCCAGGCAGGTCCAGTCCTCCCCTGTGTGCCCCTCCTCGGTGACCTCTTCCCCCTCCTCCACCCGCTCCCCCTCCTCATCTTCACCCCGGGCACCAGGGCTCCACGGCCGCTGCTCCAAGGCCTGGGTGGCAGCCGCCAACAAGGGTCCCTGTGCCACCTCCTCCCTGCTGTCCTCCTCTGTCCTCTCCTCTTGTGCCCCTCCCTGAGTAGAATGAGCCTGGCCAGCGGCCTGGGAGCGCCCGCCCTTGGTGAGGGCCCCACACTGCAGTTCTTCTAGCCCCTCAAGTGGGCTGGGGTCCGCTGCCTTCCCTGCAGGTGCCCGCTTGGCGGGGTGGGGTGTGGTGGCGGGGCCCTCAGTGTCTCTGGCTCCCAAGAGCAACCCAGGCTCCTCCAGGCTCGCAGGGGCGCAGGGGGACGGTTCCCCAGGTGGGAAGGCCCTCGTCGGCTCAGGCTGGGCCCTGGGGGGGGCGGTTTGCATAGTTTCAGGGTCCGCGAGGTCAGAAGAACACACGTGGGCAGGGTGGGCAGAGGAGAAGCCCACGCAGGCAGGGGGGCGCGGATATCCGGGGGGCAGGGCTGCAAAAGAGGGGGTGGCGTCAGGCGAGAGTGGGACAGTGGGAGGGGAGCCCTCACCCTGGGGAGTGGGAGGGGGTCTCACATCCCTCAGGGACTCCCTGCATCTCCCTACATGGTAGCAGTGAGGGGCACTTTACTTGGAGGGGGTCAATAAGGCTGATACTCTGTGCAGAAGGGGACACCCAGCCAGGCCTCCTAGTCCCCAGTCAGCCCAGGACCTTTTTCATGGGGCTGTTGAGCCTCAGGCACGGTGTGGCTAACCAGGAAAGGGGGCTCTTTTAAAGACCCAATTCGTGAATGGGGGTTTCCCCTGAACCAGAATGAGCCAGCAGTGAGTCAGAGGCCTGATGACCCATTAGCTGCAATTAAAACAAAACAAAACAAAACACCACCTCTGTTGGCTCTGCTCCTTACTGTGACCCTGGGATTGGTTTTATGTTCGCCACACGGATTTCCAGAGTAAACACTCAGCCCAGCTCAGAGAATTAAACAGCCTGTCCGGGAGAGGACTGTGTGCCAAGGGCGGCTGGCTGAGGCCACGGCAGGCCAGGAGGGGCAGGCCCAGGACCCTCCACCTCAGCGGCCACTGGGGGGCCCCTGCCCTCCTCTGCCAGGACTCTCAGCCGGGGACAGGCCCCGTGCCAGGTGTCCTGTGCGTGTGGCTGGGTCTGACCTTCGTCCTGTCCTGTCTGCCCAGGGCTGGGAAGGAGTCGGCTGGGCCATGTCTTCCCCACAGATCAACAAGGAGAAGTGGAGAGGGACGCAGGAGGAGGAAGAGGGGTGGTCTTGGTCTGCACACTGACTAGGGCTAAAGGGCAGCCCCCCCAGATCCCGCTCGGTCCCACAGAGGGCTCAGGAGGACTGGAGTGGAGTGGAGTCCGGGAGACGGCTCAGCCCCTGCCCCAGACCCACCTGGTTCCAGGACCTTGAGGGCATCCTGGGGCCGCTGGCCCTCCGCGCCCTTGTCCTCAGCTCTGGACACCGTAGAGCGGGGCCCAGGGCTGCTGGTGGATGCGCCGACACAGGGCAAGACGGATAAAGTGCACGGGGCGCTGGGCCGTGGCGGCAGCGGCGGCGGTGGAGTGGGACAGGCCGTGGGGGGCTGCAGGGTTGGGGAGTGGCAGCAGAGAGAGAGCTTGGGGCCCGCAGCAGCTGGCGGGGAGGCGCCCTTGGCGGTGGGGGTTAAGGCAACTGGCTTGTGGGTGGACTTCTGGGCCTTCTCAGGGCCAGGTCCCTCCAGCTCCGAGGGGTGTTCCTCCGGCTTCCGCTATGGGTGGGGAGAGGTGAGATGGCTTGGTCGCCCCCCCGCCACGTGCCGGCCCTCGCACCTGGTGGGCGTCTCCCCAGGGCCAGGCCAGTACCTGGAACTGGGCGTGCCGCTGCCACTCCAGGGCCTGGGCGACCCGTTGCTGCGGTGGTGGCTGCTGGGGCTGGTGCTGCACGGGGTACAGCTCCTGTTGCGGCAGGAACCCGGAGCGAGAGTACACGGGGAGCTGGCCAGGGTGCTGCATGTGTGAGGTGGGGCCCCGGCCCCCATACATGGGGGGCCACAGTGAAGCCTGGTCCATGACATCAGCTGCAGTTGGCAGAGGAGCAGTCAGCCCAGTGCCCAGAGCCCCTCCCGCACCCCAGCACCCGCCCTGTCCCCACAGCCTCGCCCACCGCACTGACCCCACCGGGCACCAGCCTCACTCCCTCCTCTCCAACAGGGATCAGATGCCCAGCACAGACTAGCTCACCGCACTGTCTGATGCAAACTTGCCCGGCCCTGGAGGCCCCTTACCAAGTGCGTGGGGGGCAGCGTGGGATGCAGGTTCTGAGGGCAGGATGACAAGCTGCGCAGGGGTGTCCTGGGAGAGGGGGAAGACGGGGGGCATGGGGCCGGGCACCGAGGCAGGGAAGCCAGGGGGCAGGTTCTGGTGCAGGGCAGGGTGCCCAAGGCCTAGGGAGACAGAGGGCAAGTGGTCAGGGGCTTCCCTGGCAGGACGGAGGCCCCGGCCCGGCCCCGCCCACCTGCCGAGCACTGACCGTAGGAATGTCCCCCCATCCATAGGGAGGGGCTGCGGGTGCGGGGCAGCCAGGGCGGGTGGGTAGGGTGCGGGTGAGGGGCCGAGTCCCCGCCCAGCTGGCTGTTCTGTAGAGAGGGGCCGCCGGCAATCACAAGGTGGGCACCCAGGTCTCCAGGGCAGCTGCCCGACGGGTGTGTCCGGGCGAACTCCACCAGTTCTTTGTTGTCCCTGTGAGAGCACGGTTCAGGCAGCATCTGTGTTGCTCCCACCCCACCCACAGCCATGGACCCCAGACACGTCCCACGGAGATCCCGGGCTCAGGTGGGCTTCAGTGCACCCTGCAGAACCACCCTCCCCCACGTGGAGCACAACCCGGGAAAAGGCCTCGGTGTGGGGTCTCCCCAGAGTCTGCTCAGGGGCCCTGACGCCAACCAGCCTGAGCCCCCCCAGGTTGAACAAAGGAGCCAAGGGGCTGAGCCCTGCGTACCCCCTGCTGGCCACGGTACCCAGGTCTTACTGAAGCAGCAGCTCGCGGCCGGCCAGTCCCAGGCGGTCCTCGCACAGCTGTGTCCGCTCCTCCTCGGCCTCCAGGTCCAGCACGTGCATGGAGCGAGGGCCCCCACCGGCTGCGTGGGCTGGGAAGAGGGAGCGAGAATTGGGGTGCCTGGGCCCAAGGGTTGGAGCAAGTGGTGCCCTTGTTGCAAGCTTTGCAGGAGGCCAGACCAAGGTGGGGTCTTCTGGCCCTGGAGGGCTTGGAAGGGGGGGCTGAGTGCAGGCACAGGGCAGCAGGTGAGGGCTTCCGCTCGGCCGCCCCACACAGGGGCCCCACTCACCCTTGAAGGCAGGGGCCGCTCTGCCCTGCCGCCCAGCGCTGCCGCTATAGCTGTTCTCAGGCCGGCTCACAGTGTCCTTCTGCCTGGCCAAGGCCACGGCGATGCCCACCGGTGGCTGCCGCACCTCCCCATCGCCGTGTGGGGCATCATGTTCACGGCTTCGGGCACAGTCGGGCCTCTCCACCTCGCTCTGGGCCTGGCCCGGGCCCTTGGGGGCCAGGAACTTGGCTTCTTGCTGGACGCAGCTGGCCTTCAGGCCGCCCAGGCCCACAAAGGGTGCCTTCTGGCCCACGACCAGGGCCTGGCTGCTGTACTTGAGCAGGTTCTTCATGGCCGAGACCTCGTCCGGTGGGGCGGAAAGCTCCTGGGACAGGAGGGCTGACGGCTGTAGGCTGCCGCCAAAGGGGTCCAGGTAGGCGCCGCCCTTGCGCTCCTCACCGACAGCCATGGCGGCACCCTGGCCGGCCTGCACACTCCACGGTGGCAGGTGGGGCCCACCGTAACCCAGGGCCGCCAGCTCCAGGGACTTGCGCTTGCCCTCGGCCCCGCTGCACCCTGGGTCTCCCTCGGGGGCCACCAAGTGCTGCTGGTGCCGGATGCGGGCCACTTTCTGGGCCCCGGGGGCGACCGAGGGGGCCTCCTTGCCAGCAGCTTTCTCCGAAGTGCAGCAGGCCTGCCCGATCTTCCCACCCAACGGGTCCTGGTGACTTGGGTGGGGGCACTCCTGCGTGGGGGCAGGCAGCTCCAAGTAGCTGTTTTTGTCCAGGCCGCCCTTGGGGAGGCCTGGGAAGGAGACCTCAGGACCTGCACTGTTGAGGTACTCCAGGCCCTTGAGCCTGGGGTTGAGGGCGGCCTCAAAGCTGCCTGTCCGCCGTTCGCCCTTGCCCTCGGCCTTCAGGTGGGCATAGGCGACACCATAGGACGCGGCGTGCTCGGCGACCCCGTCCAGGTGCCGGTCCTTGCCCTCGCTGGCCACGGCACAGGCCTCGGCAGTCTGGTAAGAACGGCTCTTGTCAGACAGGTGTCCCACGGAAGGCACAAAGGTGGGCCCGCTGGCCTTCAGGTCCCGGGGGGCTTTGTCCTGCAGCGGGCAGAGCCCGTCAGGGCCGGCGTGGAGCTGTAAGCAGGGGAAGGAGCTGGGGGCGGTGCTGAGGGGCGGGGGTGGCCCAGTGGGCAGGCCGGAGGGCACCGTGTAGGACACCGTGTGGTGCAGTATCTGCCGTCGCTCCAGGCACTCACTGAAGGCTGGTCCTGGCTCCGGGGGTCCCGCCGCCTCTTTGGCACAGCGCCCGGGAGCTGCCGTGCCCGCACCGGGCCGCACCAGCATGCCCCCTGTGCAGCTGGCCATCGGGGTCTTGCCCATGTCACCGTTGAGCACCTTGGTGTTGAGGAGGCAGGCGGCCAGGTGCTTGGCGCGGCCCTCGCAGGCCGCCCGGGGCCCAGCGCCGTCTGGGCAGTGCCCGTCAGCCGGCATGGGCAGCACCAGCCTGTGTCGCTCCTTGCCGCCGTCCTCCTCGGCCGCCACTGGCCGCTCCTTGCCGTCGGCCACCTTGACAGCCTTCTCCTTGCCCAGGCCTTTGCCCATGAGGAAGCGGTCGAACTCCTTGGAGCCCTTGGGCAGTGGTCCGGCCTCGCCCCGCTCGCGGCTGCAGGAGCCGACGGGGTGGCTGGGGGCGGCTCGGGCCACGCCAGGGAAGTTATGGTTGGTGGGCAGGAGGGTGGGCTGGGGGGGCAGGTTGCGCAGGTAGAAGTTATCTGTGTGCCAAGAGAGCCCAGGTCACAGAAGCCCCCGGCCCCCAGCAGGGCTGGAGGGCTCAGACACTGTGGCCCCACTCGCTCTCCACCTCAGCCGGCACCCTCCTGGGGCTACTGCCCTCCCTCTGGCTGGCAGCTGCAAACAGCATGACCACTGCCCCTGTTCACTTGGGCTCCCCCTGCCTGGCCCAGGGTCTGCACCCTTGAGGTATTCCGGGCCTTGAGCTTAGGGGGAGGCCCACCTCAGAGGATTTGTGAAGGGAGAGAACTGGCGTCAGGTACCTTCCCCTCCACGCACATACATACAACACACGCATGCACACACCGCATTCACATGGACACAGCACACACACTCACAGGCTCAGGGGCCCAGCCGGAGGGGAGGTTGGGCTCTGGGGGACCTGCTCACCCCACAGTGAGTGCACATAAAAAGCCAGGTAGCTCACCCGACCTCTTAACCCTGGTGATTCAGGCCTTGCCACCAGGAGTCATTTAACAAAAGGAGATGAGACAGGAACTTAGTCCTGGGCACCGAGGGGTGGCCGCATCTGTCCCTGCCCCACCGGTGGTATTTGGTTCCACCCAGCGCCCAGCGGCTCCTGCCCACTCAGCTGCTGGGCGCCCTGTGTACCGGGGCTCCTTTCCTACCAGAGTGGGGGCTGCTCTGTACTCTCCTCAGCCCTGGGGACACCCGCCAGCTAGCCTTGGGGACCCTGGGGGCCAGCCCCGCCCTGTGTACAGCTGGGGGCCCAGGCAGCAGGGGGTGGGGCCTGCCGGCCAAGGACTGAGGGACTGGGGGAGGGTGGGACACAAAAGAAACATTTAGAACTTGTAAAACTGTGCTTAGTCATGTAAATTCCTTGTCAATTTCCTGCTAATTAAAAACCAGGGGCAGGGGGCGGGCGGGGGGCTGGCCAACCTAATTAGCTCAATTTCCAAACCTAAATAATGTTCTTGGACGAGCCTCCACCACAATATTGTGAAACCCGAGCGGTCGCCCGCTGCCACCTGCCACCACCGCTGCCCGCGCGGCTGGGACCAGCCACCTGCCCACCCTTGACACACGCTGTCAAAACAGCTGCATGGCCACCCTGGACTGATGTAGGATCATGGGGGCCAGCCTGCCTCCAAGGGCCAGGCGAGATTTGGTTTTCCTGCAGTGGCCAGGATGCCCTCCTACCCCTGGCAGAACTTTTTGGGCTCATCCTGGACCAAGACAAGGAGGAACTGAGCTTGCCCATAGGCTATTGCAGGGCCAAGGTCACGGGTGTGGGGGAGAAGTCAGGAGGCCTGAGACATAGACTCTGGGATCCCTCATCGCTGGACCCTGAAATCTCCCCACTGGAGTCCCCACGGCCACCTTGAGGACACGGGCTCACTGGAGTCCCTTTCCTTTCCTGAAACCCTTCGGACACCCTCCTTAACCTGTTGGGGTTCTGCTGGGGCTTTGCAGGACACCCTCTGCCTCTGCCTGTCCCATCTGGCGGCCTCTTCCCCCTGCTGAGGGCCCAGCCAGTGTAGGGGGAGGGGGACTGACAACCCCTCCAGGGGCCGGCCTATCTCCCACTGCTTCCTCCTGAATGGGAGGCTTGGAAGATGCTGTGACTTCAGCCTACCCTTGGTCTTGGTCCTTGACAGCAAGTTGAAGTCTGCCAGGGCTGAAAGTGAGGCCCATCCTCTCCTCCAGCTAGAGCCCAGCTGGGCCTAGCCTTAGCAGGGAGGGTTCTGGGCTGGCTGCCCCACTTGGGCCCTGGCAGGTGCCCAGTTCCACCCCACCTCACCCCACTAGGATGCCCCAGGCCCCTTCTGAGCCACACACCACTTTGACACACATTGCCCCTCCCCTCACCACGCCTACCGCCCCAGGCCACGCCCCCACTGGTCCTCACTCTGCCACTTGCCTTTCTGGGCTCCATAGAAACGATGCTGCCCATAGAGGACATTGCTGTTTCCATGGTGATCCAAGTGGCTCATGGGTAGGAAGGTGGATGCCAGACTCCCTGAAAATCTGGGGTACCCTGGAGCTGGAGAGACAAGGGGACTGCTGTTGGGCGGCTCCCAGCCACCTCTGGCCCACAGCCCTGACCCCAGGGAAGTGGGGGCTGCAGGCCCAGGACTACTCCCTGTGGAGGTGGCCTGCACCCACTAGTGGGAAATCAACCCATCAATACCTCATACTAACTGACTCCACTAACACCCTCCCTCGTGCAGCACAAATTGAACTGCTGATGGCCTGGGAGGGAGCCTTTCACCACCCTCCAAGACAGCATGGACATGGGCTGGGGAATGTGGGGTGCAGGGGACGGAAGACTCCGTGGGAGGAGCATGGGGTGCCTGCCTGTCCCCAGGGGCAGCCTGGGGCCCCTGCCCTCCCTGGGCAGAGCGTGGGGTGTGACAGCGTCTGTGCCCCACCATAGGCTCGAACACTGCCAGCTGCTGTCTCTCCACCATGGGGAGCTGGTCCCCAGCATGGAGGTCCAACCCTGCATTGGCCTCCAGACCGTCCGCAGGCCCGCAGGTCTGTCCCTGCAGGCAGCCAGAACTCAGCCTGGGCAAGCCCAGGAATGCGAACACCCTGGGGCTGGCCCATCTGTGGCCCTGGCCCCAGGGCTGTCAGCCACCTGGGATAATGCTCCTCCCTGCCCCGGGGGGGTGAGGACGTACAGGACAGACAGGACTGATTGATGGATGGGGACCACCCAGGCTTCCTGGTCTGGGCACAGTGGGAGGGTTCTGCTGGGGTGCCCAGAGCCACCTAGAAGGCCAGCTTCTCAGCGGAGGTCCTTCCCTGCTAGGACTCACAGGGAGGGGTGGCTCCCTCTGGGGACTGTTTCATCAGTCCCAGCCCACGGGGTCCACCGCCCTTGCCTGCTGGTGGCCGGCCAGTCCCACCCTGCTCACTGCCACCAATGAGGGCAGCTGGGAGGGCATGGGGAGGAGTGGGGTGCTGGGCTTTTCCTCATCCGCCTCTGACACTGCATTGTTCATTAGGGGTGAGGGCTCCCCACAGTGGGGCTGAGCTGGGTCTACCCTGGCCAGCCGGGTCGGGTATTCTTAGAGCTGCGGCATTTGTCTGTGGCCTGGAGCACCATCCAACTGCAGTGGCGGGGATGCTGTCCTGTGGGTGTGACTGATAGCTGTGGGTGCATGAGGGGCAGGGCAGCCCTAGGGCCCCCCATACTCCGAGGCCAAGCAGGAGTCCTGGTCGCCCCTCTGCTGCCTATCAAAGGACAATGCAGGCCGGCGACTGTTGGGGTGTGTGTGCATGGTGAGCCCGTGGCTCAGACACCTGGACACCTTGCCCTCCCCACTCTCGCTCCAGCTTCTGCCCCTACATGTCTCACCCCAGCCCCAGCCTCCCACTAGATCCCACCAGGACCAGGGCTCCCAGGATCCCCACTGGACCTGAGGTCACGTGCAGGGAGGAGACACACAGCAGTGCTATCCACTCAGTGTCCCTGAACCGCCTGAGTCTGAGTGGGTGATGGTGCCTGCCACTCTCTGCACCCCGACGGGTCCAGGGTGTATCTGAGCACCATCACAGCCACCCCCTGGATGAGGGGAGCGGTGAGCCACCAGCTGGGGGGTGTCCAGACCCCTCAGACCGTTGCAGCGGTGTCCCTGGTGAGCCTCACAGCAGAGAACCTTGACTGATTCTCTAGTTTCACTGTTCCCCAAATTCCTTTATCACAGATCCCTCCAGTGTGTCAGGGCAACCTCAGCATTGGGAAGAGGTTTCTGTGGAACAGTCTGAGGACCGCCTGCCCGCAGCCGGCTAGCAGGCAGGATCCAGGACTCCACACAGCGTAGGCGCCCAGAGGCTCGGTCCCTGCTCCTGGGTTACATCCTCAGGGAGCCCAGGGCCCTGGCTGGTGCCTGGATCCTCACACTGCTGGGGCGGAGGATGAGTGGGACACGCCCCCCGGAGCCAGGTCTCTGATGGTGAACGAGGCAAGGCAGCCCTGGGCTCCACCGTGAGCACTGAGGGGTCGGGCCGGGGCAATGCCTGGACCTCAGCTTGGATGTCCGGAGCCGAGGAGCCTCAGGACAGAGGTTGCAACAGGAAATGACCAGATGGGCCAGGGGGACAAGGCCCTGATACCCGGGGGGCTCCCCAGTCTGAATGGGGTACTTAGTCCTCTCCTGGTGGGCTCCTCAGCAGTGGTGGGCCACCCCTCTGCCCCATTACCCTGCTCCATTCTCTGGCCTAGAAGGGGAACCCCGTGGAAGCTTCGTGCGAACAAGTCCCAGGTCACGATTGGCAGGAAGTGACCAGAACCCTCTCCAAGGAGGACCAGGGGCACTGGGCAGGGTGTGAGGGGTCCGACCACATCGTCCCCGCCTGCACCACATGGAGGGCAGAGTCTGGGTGGTGGGGCTGCGTCAGGCCAACAGCCTGCTGAGTGTGGAGACACATCTGGGGCAGATGTTTGCTAGATTAACTTCAGCTCCTGGAAGACTTGACAGAGTTGGGGGGAGGTGTGGCCTGTGTGTGGGTGGGTGGGGGGGTCGGCTAAACCGCCCCAGCTGTCTCCTGTAATCAGCTGCTGTGAAATGCTTTATGGGGCCTCATTTTGGTAAACAGGAGTCTGTAAAGCCCTCCCGTCCAGACACTGCTGCCCAGGTGCAGGCCCCGCGACCCTGGGAGGGCCAGACCCTGCCCACCACCCTGGAGGGGAGCAGCGATCCAGCAGCTGGGGGTGGGAGCCTTCTGAAGCTCCGCCCTCTTGGGGCAGTGTGGGGGCAGACGGCCCTGGGCCCCACTTCTGATCCCAGCTGGTGGCCATCCGGCCAGGGAGCGGGTATTGGGGTTGGGGATCTACCAGGGGTCCCAAACCCCAAAGCTTTGGCCAGCTCCCACCCCCAGAAGATGCAGCTGGGGCTGGGCTGGGGCTGGAGGTAGGACGGGGGTACAGCTGGGGGTGTGAGGATGAAGGCCAAAGTGGTGGGGGCCCACGGCAGGGCGCAGGAGAGGAAGAAGAGGGCAGTGTCATCCCCAATCCCACCGTCATAGGGCCCCTTTCTTTCTCCCGACCACACTGCACTCTCTGAATTGAAGGAGAAAATTTGAAAAATGATTTTTACGACTTGAAGCAGCTGTCGGGGACCAGGAGCAGGGGTGCTGGGGCCAGGGAATGCCATCCTCGGGGTGAACACTGGGCTCTGGGGAAGCAAGGGGTGCCAGGATGACGGCAGACAAGGCCAGGCTGGAGAGCCAGGAGGCTGGGTGGCACATCCCAGCCCCAGGGTAGGGCTCTCAGTGCCAGCCCTCCTTCTGGGCACATCACGAAGTCCCTTCCCTAGACCTCACACCCCATGAGGCTGGAGACAAGATGAACCTCAACTGACAAGTGAAAACCTGAGGTCCACGCACGGTGTGTCCAGAGAACTGATACACGTGCCAGGCCAGGAACCCCGGACCAGGGCCACACATGAACTCGGTGCTGGCCCTTTCCCATGTGACACCCATCACTCAGGGTGGCAATGGCTTTCAACTGCAGGGCACAAGGCCATTCACTGAGGCTGACCACAGTGCTGGGTTAAGAAAGGATTCTGGGGCTGCACCCACTGTGCTGCGCTTGACTCGCAATGTCTGCCACGGCACGGGAGGGGCAGCATCAGGTGTGCTGGGCCTGCCATCCCTGCTTTAGTATCTGCAGAGAGCTGGCATGCAGCAGCCCCCCCCCCCCAGGTCCCCCTGCTTCTGCCCACAGCCTATCAAGCCAGGCAGGCAGGCAGGGTCCAGACTGAGCTTCCAAGGGCAGCCCTCAGGAAGGACCACCCACCACAGGGCTCTTGGCCACTCCCTCTGGGCTTCCTGGGACTTTGGAGGCTGGACCCTCACAGTGTGACCACCCAGCACTTCCACAGTGGGGACTGGGGTTCAGGGCTGAGTGTAGGTTTCATGCTGATTTCTGATCACTGAATCCTAAGACCCCCCCAGCTCCACCTCCTGACCCCCCAGCTGTACCTCCTGACCCCCCAGCTGCACCTCCTGACCCCCCAGCCCACCTGACTCAGGTGACCCCCCAGCTCCACCTCCTGACCCCCCAGCCCACCTGACTCAGGTGACCCCCCCAGCTCCACCTCCTGACCCCTCAGCCCACCTGGTTCAGTGTTCTGTTCTCACCTAATGTGGGTGCTCCACACCCACCCACTGACCCCCATCTTCCCTGGTTGGGGTGCTCCCCACCCATCTAGTTCCATACCCACTTGCTGATTCCATCTGGTTTGGGTGTTGCAGGCCCTCTACTGATGCTGGCCTACCTGTTTCAGGTGCCCTGTGTCCACTCATGGACCTGCAACCACCCCAGGGTGCTAGTCCTGGCAAGCACTTCCAGGCCAAGAGGACAGGCTGAAGGCCAGGGAAGGTGCCAGGCTCCCGCCACTGCGCTGCAACAAAAGCCACGGGCAGCCTGCCCTGGACCCCGGCCAGTCCCGGACGGTCCCAGGGCTCCTGGCACACAAGGCAAGGGAGGAGTCAGCCTCTGGCCACACAGAGCTAATGCCCGTCAGAGGGGAGTCGAGGGGCTGGGAGGGAGGGCAGCCCGGGCCGCAGGCCTCAAGCCAGAAGCTTAGGGCCAGGAGCAACCTGGCTGTGACCCCCAGTCTCGAGGACACCCCAGACCACGGCTTGGCCACCAGGGAGTTCTGCAGTAAAGCAACTGCCCCCCCCAGACCTCCCGTCCACTTCTGCCACCAGCCTCCGTGGCCTCCACCCCGAGTGGGACGTGGCCCCTGGACACATGTAAGTCTTCACATCTGGGAGCCCTGAGACCTAGGACCACAGGCATGACATGGGGTGGTGCTCCAAGCCTGCCTTGCAAGGCTTTGGCTGTGTGTCCTATTGGACCAAACGGCCATCCTGGTCAGTTCAGTCTACAGATGGGACAAGTGAGGCTTGGTGGTGCAGCAGCTCTTGCTGGGCACAAGGCTCCCGGCTGCCTGGGTGCCTCAGGGCACATGCCACAGCACCCTGGTCCCCACAGCTAGAGCATGGCCAAGTCCCACGGTGCAGGCAGAGAGAGAATAGGACCCTTACCCCAACACAGGAGGCTCGGGAGGGAGGCCAGGGAGAGGCCGTTATGACTGGTCTCAAATCCTGTCACAGCACCTTCTTATGCCTCAGTTTTCCCACCTTTAAAATGGTGTCACAGCAGGGCGAAAATCAAGGTGGCACAGGGGAGTGGGAAAAGTGAGTGGTGCCCCGAGCAGGGCAGGGGGGTCTTTTCTGGGACCAGGGTTGGCCCCGGGAGCCTGCCCAGGCCAGGAGCCCCAGGAGAGGGGTCCAGCATAGTCAGGGTCACTGTGTCCTGACTGAACATCCCACACAGCCCCCTTCATCCCCACCAGGGCCGGCAGGTGGCTTGTGGCCCCCACAGCCCCAGATTTCTTGGGGCCCCCAGCCCGCAGGCTGTGCCCCACTCCAGCACCTCTGAGCAACGGTTTACTCCCTCTGCCAGGCATGGCCACACTGCGAGAATGAAGGGCCCGGTCCAGCCGTTAGGAGGGAATCTCCCCGATTTGTCAAACAGAACACAGACAGAGGCTAGGGCCCCAAAGGGAGGCTGGCTGAGGTAGGAGCAGCAGGGACACGGGTGGGGAGCTGGAGGAGCCGAGGGCCTGGGGGTCACACAGAGGCATGGACACTGAGTGGTGTCCACTGAGTGGTGTCACTCACAGAGGGGCAGGGATACCTGAGGGGACACTGGGGGCCCTGGAGCAGCAAGGAGCATCTGCAGCCTCAGCGCACCCCGTGCCCTGCCAGTCCAGCCCTGGATAGAGGCAGGACGGCCGAGCAGGGCGGCTCTGACAAAGAGGCTGGCCAGGCAGGCGGCCGGCGCTGGCATGTGGCCGGTGCTGGCAGCGGCTCCCCCTCCAGGTGGCACGAGAGACCACAAGTAGCCTGGCTGTGGAGCTGCAGCAGCTGAACCCCCTCCCCAGCTGAGCCCCCAAGAACAAATCCCCTTTCATCGGCCCTGTGGGTGGTCTGGACAAGCAGCTGGGGGTGGGGTGGGGGAGGGGACCTGTGGGCTGACAACAGGACCGGCTGTGCTGTGCCCCACCCCCACTCTGACCCACCCAGGACAGGCTGGCTGCCACTCCGTTCACCTCTGTCCAGAGCCACTTCCGCCGCCCACCCCTTCCCAAACCAGCTCCGGCAGGAAAGTCCAGCCTCTGGCGGGACCCTCATCCTGCAAGAGCTGCGGGGGGGGGCTCTCCCTAGGCCAGATGTTCTGGGCCTTCCTCCGGCTGGCTGCCGCGGCAGGAGGCAGGAAGCCCCACCCCTCCAGGGCCTGCCCTGCAGATGGGGGCTGGTCCGCAGAGGCAGGGGTGCTGCCCGCTGGCTGGGAGGCCCACTTCCCTGCCCGCCCTGGCCTTCCTGCCCTGGAGACAGGATCCGTCTAGGGGCCCTGGGTGGCCCTGGACTGGGGAGCGGGAAAGCAGGCTGTGCCGGGCACCTGCCTCCCTGGGTTGACTTGGCTGCTTGAGCGGCCGCCCAGACAGCCCACTGGGCCTGGCGGCCCCCATCCTCAGCCACTCGCGTGCCCCCGGCCCGCTGCGCCCCCTCCCCGCACACACACGGCAGAGGAGCAGGCCCCGGCACGCGGGAGCCAGCTGGCACCCTATCAAACGAGCAGCCGGGCACGCGGCCAGGGCAGCCTGCCAGCCAGCCTGCCACTCGTACTGCCACGCCCCCCCGGTCTCATGCTCCCGGCCCGGCAGCAGCAGCCACCACGCGGCTGGGCCACCACGCGGCTGGGCCGCCGGGCAGCCAGGCTAAAGGCAGGAAAGGGATGCGGTGATGGATAAACTGAGGCACAGCCTCACTGGCACACGAGCACGGTCGGTGTGCCTGCCGTGGCCGACGCAGCACCCTGTCACCCGCTGGGGCACGAGCAGGTGGAGGGGTAGCCTGAGCGAGTGTCTTGTGCACCCCCCGGGAGAGCTGCCCCCGTACAGTCTTTACTGAAGATGTGGCTGGGGGGTGCTCAGAGGTCCCTGGCCCTGCCCCTACATCAGGCCACCTGCCTCTGCTCACCTGTGTCCCTGACCCTCCACCTGCCCCAGACCGGGGGCCCTGTGAGAGCAGGAACAGAGGAAGTACCAAGGGGCTTTTGTGCTCCCGGATGGACAGGTGACCACTGGCCCCGGGGCTGCAGGCCGTGGGCCCACCCTCCTGCTGAGGCCACCCCAAATCTAAGGAGCTGGGTGTGGGGAAGGGACCACCCACCCGGCTGCTGGCCTCCCACTCACCAGCTGGACATCCTGGGGTTGGTCAGGGAGATGGACATGTCAGGGGGTAGAGGGCACAACGGGGGGAGGGCAGGGCAGTGGTGCGAGCACCCCCCCAGGGCAAGGTGGGGGCACAGCCAGGCAGCAGTAAGCAACCCCCAACCCAGGGCAGCCGTTGGCAAAGGGGAAGTAGGAGGTGGGGGCTCTTGGGGGCCCTGTCTGTCTGCAGGCTGCCTCTCCCATTCTCCTGGCAGCCCCCAGGGGCTGGACTGGGGCACTTCTCCCAGGCCTCAGGGCAGGTGGTGCTACCACAAACCGCCCTCCTTGACGGTGGAGTTCCCAAGGGTGGGGCAGAGGGGAAGGAGGAACGCATCTCCTGGGGGCGCTCCTGGGATTCGGAGTGTGGGCCACGGCCACTCCCAGGCCCCAGCAGGGCTGTTGCTGCAAGATGGGGAAACCAAGTCAGCCCCTGCTGCTGGTACTTTCCCAGGGCACCTGCATTCTCGGCCTCCCTCCCCCCTTCCATGATCTCCTGTGCCTGCAGGACAGCTCACTGTGGTGGGAGGAAGAGTGTGTGTGTATGGGGGCAGCGCCCACATGGCCCCAGGAATCCTGTGCTCCCGGCCAGGCTTGGGGCAGCTTCTCTCTGCCGGCAGCACAGGGTTTGCTAGTGCAAGGGCAGGGGGCACAGGGCAGAGGCGGTCTGCCCACCTGGGGCCTGGGACCCGACCCAGGCCCCTCCACGGAGAGCAGCGCGCTCCTTATCGCCTGGCCAACATGTGCACTCTGGTGTGCCGAGCCCAGGTTATTTTAACAACTGTCCCTCACTCGTCACCTGTCCTGTTTGGAAAAGAGCCCCTTTCTTGCAGCATGAAGAGAGCCTCTCCCTCACTCCTGCAGCGCAGGGTGCTAATCTCCCTGCCTGGAAGGCGGGCGGGCGGCGGGCACGGTGTGTGGGTCTGCCGCTCTGTAAACACGGCGGCCGACGCTCGGCAGTCATTGAGTTACAACAGCGCCAAGTGCCAGGAGCAGAAGCCCTCTGTGCCCGCTGCCAGCTGCAATTACCTCTCCGTGTGCCAGCCGCCCGAGAGGGCTTAACCCTTCCTCCTCCAAGGGGGGTGATGCCAGCAACCACGGGGGCCAAGGGACGTGGGGACTGAGGACTGCCACCCAGATCACACCAGGGGGCTGGGCTGGCAGTGCCAGCCTGGGAAAGGATGCAGGCCGAGGAGTGTCCGGGGCCTTAAGAGGCTGACCTGAGGGGCCAGACCACCAAGAGATGGACATGCATCTCTGGCTTGCCTGCTCCGTGCCAGGCCTGTGGCCCTCGGGAGGCCTCATCCGAACCAGGCCCCCAGGGTGGCCTGTTGACAGCGCTCCCTCCCGCCCCTCCCAGCTGGCACATCTGGAACGCACGTCTCCCTGAGTCTGGGAGGGAGCACAGTCCATGTGGAGGACGCGGCCCAGGCGCCCAGCCGCCCAGCTGTGTTCCACATTTCCTCAGCTCCCGGGAGCCCTCCCCCACCCCCACTGTTTTCCTCTCCCTCCATCTGGAGCCACATCTGGCCAGGACACTGCCTGACAGGGCCCACCCCTATTTCCAATCAGTTATATTCCCTCCCGGTGGGGGCTCCTCGACCTGGAGGCTGCCCCCGTCCCCAGAGTTCACCAGGCAGGGGCCCCGCTCAGTCACTCAGCCACCGGGGTAAGCCTGCAAGCCAGACTTACCTTCGTGGGAGTGGGAGAACCAGATCTGGGAGGGGGCCGGGTGGGAGCCGTGGTAGGCCTGTTCAGAGGGGGCAGAGGTGGGGCCGCTCGGGTGTGCGGAGGTGGCCGAACCCAGGCTGCTGGTGAGGAAGCTGCCCATGAACGACGAGGCCGAGGAGCTCCCCATCAGACGGCTGCTGGCTGTGGACACAGGGGCAAGGGTGAGGCTGGGGGCAGCTCTGAGGGTACAGCCTGGGCTTAGGGCAGGAACAGCACCTGCCGCCAAGGGGCACTTCATGGGAGACTTTAGGGCCCCAAACTCTCCTGGGGCCTTTTGTCTTCAAAAGTCCAAAATATCCAAGAAGTCAACGGCAGACAAAGCTGCCCACACAGATCCCTAACGATCACAGGCAAGGGCCCAGGTCTCCTGTGTCTTAGAGGCCCTGGCATTGACACCCTCCCTGTTACTGCAAAAACCCCCAACCTACACCTACACCACAACACAACTGACCATCACCATCATCAACATCACCATAGTCGTCACGACCAACACTCCAATACCAATGCTGTCACAACTGCCACCACCATCACCACTATACCATCATCACCATACTGCCACCATCACCATGACTACCACTAGCACCATCACGGCTGTCAACACTGTGACCACCACCACCACCATCACTGCCGTCAACACCATGACCACCACTACCACCACCACCGCTCTCACCATGACCACCACCACCATCACCACTGTCAACATTGTGACCATCTCCACCACCATCATTGCTGTCAACACCATGACCACCACCACCATCACCACCACCATTGTTCCTGTCACCATTACCACCATCAGATGACTAGGTGCCAAGCGCTGTGCTTACGTTTGGTGCCCACAGGGAACAACCTGCCCTCGCAGGTGGTCTCCTCCTTGGAAGCAGAGCGCCCTGACTCTCCCAGGCTAGGGAGGCAGCTCCAAAGACTCCTGCCCACTTGCCAGCTTGCTTTGCCTACACTTCCCTGAAAGGGTCAAGTTCATACACCCAGGATCAGGGTCATCAGGGCTGAGCCAGAGGACCTTCTATGGGCTGGGCAGTCCCTTTGCAACCTGGACAGCACTGGGGGGGCTGGTCTTCCTCCACAATGGGGTCTTCAATATCGGCAGGGCCTCTCCCTGGGTCCAATGAACTGACTTGTCAGATAGGTGCCTGGTCCCAGGTGAACAAGGGCAGAGCCTGAGCCAGAGGGCAGGAAGAGGAAGGGGAGGACCTCGAGGGTGCAGCTGCAGTGACCTGGCTGGGGCTGGTACCAAATGCAGACACCACTGACCTACAGTGGGGGAGGTGGCAGGCAGCTTTCTGGGCACGCTGTGCACTGTCTCCCTCCTGCAGCCTGCCCGTCCTGGCACTTCATGTCCATCCCGTCCCAGCAGCCCAGTGCTGCCTCCTCCCTGCCCAGCCCAGCGGCCGAGGCCAGGCCCGGGCTCCCCCAGGCCGAATGGGCCCACCTGGGTTGCCGTGGTACTGGGCTGTTCTCATCAGACACACAGACGCAGGAGGTGCCTGGAACAGCCCCCGGTGCCCACTGGGAGCTCTGGCTGTGCCACAGGGGTGGGGAGCAGGGCCTGGGGGCTGCAGTGGGCACCAGTTTGAGAAGCTTAGGCCCAGCCCGGGTGAGTCAGGACAGCTGTCCCCTGCCAGGGGGCAGAGGGACTGGTGAGTGTGTGATGCCTCATCCAAAGGCAAGCCCTTGGAGCTTCCCAGACACGAGTGACTCAGCAGACGGGCTCATGGCCAGGGGAGCCCAGGGCCAGGCCCCCCTCGTGTGAGTGAGGCGTGTGTGGGCCGCAGGGACCCGTGGGACCTCCTGGACACAGCCCAGAGGGAAGGTGAGCAGCGGGGCGGCAGGGTGTGTGCTGACCTCGGGGACTGGGGCGGAAGGCAAGGTCGTCAGACCCCAGGAGGGGAGCCAGGGACTTCCCGGCCATTGCCGGGCTGAGCTCGGCAGGGCCGCCAGACCGCAGGGGCTCCGGCCAGGGAGGACTCGGGTGGGAAGGGAAGCGCCACTGGGTCGGGCGGGCCGAGAGGGCGGCGCTGGCGGCTCGGTCCTCCAGGGGCATGCCTGTGGGATGATGTGGCCCTCCTGGGGTACAGCTTCCTGCTGGCCTGGCCCCAAGGCCCCCGCCTCACCCAGGGAAGTCCCTCTGCCCCCGTCCATGGGGGACAGTGGGAAGCAGCTGTAGCCAAGCGGGGTCTGGAACCAGGGCTTATGCAGGAGCTGGGCCTGGGAAGTCTATACCGTGAGAGCTCCCACACTGGCCAAGGAAACTGAGGCCCTGAGCAGGTCCCCCGTGGGATCTGGGCCGCACGGCAGGCCTGAGCCCGGAGCCAGGGAGCGGGGGGCTCGGCTGTCATGCCCCCCACCCCTGGGGGGCCTTGGGCTCTCACTGATGCCCTGGGCCCACACCTCCCAGGGTCCTCTAGCATGGAGCCTAGAGACAGCATCACAGCTCCTGGCTCTGCAGTCTGCACTTCCCACCGTGACAGTGAGGGCGCGGGGGTGTGTGACACCGGGACCCCCGCCCCAAAGTCAGGGAAGGGGGTTCATGCGACAGAAGTTCCCGCCTAGCCCCTGGCCCCCTGCTTCAGGCCTCAGGGCACACTCGCCCACCCTGCTGCCACTGTGCTCTGCCCACGGCCTCTGGGTCCGGGGTCGGCCCCCGCACCCACCTCAGCCTTCCACTCGGCACCTTACCACCCCTTTCCTTTCCTTCTCATGGGAAACACACCCTCGTCATAGAAACACGGCGTCTTGGTGTCATCCTCATGGGAACGTCCCCCACAGAACCCAGGGGAGAGGAGGCAGAGGCCACCTCACACTGTCACCACTGGCACTCCAGGGACTGCCTTCCAGCCACACCTTCCTCAGTGCTCCACTCGGAACCGTTCACTGCACCCCAACTCCCGGACCAAGACTCCACATACCCCGCCCACTGAGGGAGACCCAAAGGCGCCTGCTGCAGTGACAGGTCAGGGCATGTGTGGGCCTCCTCTCAACATCCCAGCCCAGCCTGCACACAGTAGGGCTCCACGTGCCTCACCTGGAAGCAGCCAAAGATCCCTTAGGCACCCCGTGGAGGACAGTGACCATGGTGGTGGCTGTGGAGGAGGGGATTGTGAGCCCCAGAGCCCCCTGGGCAAACCCTAGAACGGAGCACCCCCAATCATCCCCTCCACCTCTGAAAAGTGTCCGAAGGCATCATGTCTGTGTCACCTCTGAGCTCCCGCCTGCCACCCAGTAGCCAAGTGGCAGACAGCTGTGCCGAACTGCCTGGGAGCCAGGGCCCTGGGCCTGAGCCAGGCCAGAGCCTTGGGCGGCTGGCGTGGCCAGGAACTGGGCTGAAGGTTCCTTTCCTCTTGGCAAGGGCCTACCCACCCCCCACAGTGCTGTGGTTAGCGGCCCAGAGGGGATGGGGGGGGGGCTTGCGAAGCAAAGGTGCTGAGGGTTCTCAGCCCGGGCCTCTCGGACTGGGGGCCCTGATCCTGGTCCCAAACACCCAGCGTCTCCATGCCGGGGCTTTTCAGTTCTCCTGTTAGCATCGCTGAGCTGGGCCTTGGAGGCCCCGTGGGATGGATGAGGAATGGGGTGACTGAGCCAAAGTCATGAGCCCAAGTGCCTAGGCTGGAGTGCGAGGGAGGCCTGTCCCCTCCAGCATGGCCGTCAAAGGGGGCCATGGCCCCACTTCCCTGGGCCCTCCAACAGCACTTGTGCTAGGGCTGTGGCGGGGTTTAGGATTTTCCCAGGACAGAGGACTGAATGCCATGGGAGGGCACCATCAGCTGGCCTCTAGCCCGTCGCCCTACCACCCACTGCCCGGCTGCCCGGCTGCCTGGAGGCTGGCCTTTGCTGGGGTTTGGAGCCCAAGTGAGACCCCAGGGCCTAACTGTGCAGTAGCTCAGCCTGCCCAGTGTACCACGGAGGCCAGCCCAGGGCGCCAGTCTGGCTGAGAAAACCACTCTGGAAGCCAGGATGCCTGGGAGGGCTGGCTGACACCCCCCTCAGGCGTGGCCCCCCCTCCCTGGGAGGCCTGCCTGATGGCTTGCCGACCTGGCCCAGACACGGGCCACACCTGGACCCTGGCTTTGGTGGCCTCACCCCTCCCAATGCCCGCTGGGCGCTCAGGTGACAGGAGGGCTTTGAGCACTGCTGGAAAGAGCTGGGTGCCTCCCAGAACCCCACGTCGCTCCCACCCAGGCCCCACGCCCTGCGTGAAGCTTCAGGCACACAGCAGGTGTTGGTAAATTGGACTGGCCGCTGCAGAGGTGGCCCTAGGGGGCTGGGCAGGGCTGGGGAGACCGGCCTTTCTCCTGCCAACCTGTGTGCCAGCCCACTTGTCCCAGCCAAGCTAGGTGGCAGATGTGTGCCAGCCCACAGGCGCACGGAAGGTGCTGAGGCCCAGAGCCTAGAGGTGCTTACAGCCCAGGCCCACTGAGACCCCAGTCCTCCCCGAGTCTCACCTATGGCAAGGCCAGAGCCCCCCCACCCCTGGCCAAGCACCCCACTCTCCCTCCTGTGCACTGGCTCCTCACTGTGATGCCAGGTGAGGGCAGAGGGCGTGAGGACGAGGGACGGGGTTGGCAGGGCCTCGTCCAAGGGTGGGCCCAGGAATGAGAGAAGAAAGCGTTTGTTTTGAGTTACTGAGCGGTCCAGACAGCACCCTGCTCTCTGGAAACTGCGAAATGGGTTGTAAAAAAAAAAAGGGCCTCATAGCGCTGGCGGCGGCTCCGAGCTGCAAGCCCCTTCCCGGCTCTCAGCACGAGCGTGCTTCCGGAAGCCCAGCTGACGGGCTGCTGGCATCAGTGCTGCCCGGGCTCCGCGTCTGGCGGCCGTGCCAGTTCCCACTCCTCCCCTCCCAGCTTCCCACGGCGCGGCCGGCTTCCTGCCTGAGCCTGGCGCCTCCCCCCGCCCGGCTGCGGTGCAGGGACGCCTGGCTCCCCCGGGGACATCAGGAGCTGCTGTGATACCAGGGTGACGGGCGACCAGGCTGGGGGCCAAACTGCCCTGCTGCCACCCAGCCAGGCCCCAGAGCAGCCACGTTGGGGGGGGGTGAGGTCCACAAGGACCTGCCCACATTTTCTTCATTCCTGGGAAGGAGAGGGGAGAAAGGAAAACCCCCCATGGACTCTGAGGCGGAAAGGCCCTGGTCTGGCCTGCTGGGAGGCAGGTGGGCATCCTCCAGTCTGACCACAAGACCACCCAAAGAAATAGAAGAGGGAGAGAGAGGAGAATCAAACCTGG